ATGAAGCATTTAGCTCACCAGCTAACCCGCTGCTGTCAGCCTACCCGGCTCCATTTTGAACGTATAAGAAAGGCCGAAGAATATTATCGTAGCAGTCAACGGCGACCGACGTTACGTGCGTGCGCGTGTGTGCGCGTGGGCGTGCACAGGCGTGCGATTGCACGTGTGTGCGCGAACGCACACGCTTGCCATCACACATGTTTGCGTGCGCGTGTGAGCTCACGCGTGTAAGTACACAACACTCATCTACCGTCGCACACACATGCGCCAGGTGACGCTGGGGAAAAACCACGACCAGGATGTAAAGCCATGTAAGTTATCACGTCGCCTATGATTTCAATATGTTTCACTCGCGCGCGGTGGGTGGGCCNTGGTAGGATTTGCCCTTCCCACCCAGAGTAGTGCATGTTCACCTTCTTGAATATGTAGCGTTAGGTTATGTAGAGTTGAAGAAGTACATCACACCTCTCTGCGATTGAACATAATTTTTGAGCTGTATATTGCGAGACGTAAGATAAGAGCATTATTCCTCGTACGCTCGTACTTAATACACCAAGAGTAATAATAGGAGCCTCTTTATGTACTCTCTAGTTCCATATTCTATTCAGGCCCGTGATCAGCTCTTACTGGTGATTATGCTGGCATGTTGTCTTGCCATTTGCTTTAGCGCAACGATGGTTGATGTATGTGCTGGGCGTGTTTGTACTTAGTCCGTGAGTAGCGCATTACATATAGGAGAAACAGAGAGCGAAAGGAGAGAGGAGCGGAGGATGATGAAGAGACACGGGGACGAGACGAGAAGAGAGAGAGGGATGGAGAGATGACAGAGAGAGAGAGAGCGGTTCGAAAGAGAGAGAGAGAGACAGGAGAGAGAGAGAGCCGCGTATCGAAGAGAGAGCGATGAGCGGTAAGAGCGAGAAGCAGAGAGGGTAGGAGAACGAGAGCGACTAACAGACTAGGACAGTACGAACGAGCAGACAGGCGGATGGCCGCGGACAGACAGACGTACGGCACGGATCGGACGGACGGACGGACGGACAGCCAGACAGACAGATAGATAGATAGATAGCATTAGATAGATAGATAGATAGATAGACAGAGAGATAGACGCGGACATTAGAGATAGAAACAGACACAGAGAGACAGACAGGACACATCAGACAGATTATAGACAGACAGACAGACAGACGACGGAATACGCGAAGGCGCACGCAGATCAGACAGGCAGACAGGGACAGACAGACAGTATACACAGACAGACAGAAACAGAAACAGAACCACAGGGAAAACGGTGGACAAAAACAGACAGGAATAGAACAGATAGACAGATTAGACGAATAGACAGAGAGATAGATAGGACGAGGGGATAGATAGAGAGATAGAGAAGATGATAGATAGAATAGCTTTAGTATAGATAGAAGAATAGGATAGATTTAGATAGATAGATTAGATAGATAGAATAGATAGATTAGATAGATTAAATAGATAGATTAGTATAGATAGATTGATATTGATAGACTATATAGATAGATATAGATAGATAATAGATAGATTATAGATAGATATAGATAGAATATATAGATAGATAGATAGAATAGAATATATAGAGATAGATATAGTATTATAATAAAATATATATTATATATATATAGATATATACGATATTATATATATATTTATATATATATATATATTTAGATAATTATAGATATATTATAGATAGATAAGATAGATATATACTTATATATATATATATATTATATATGATATAGATATAGATATAGATATAGATATAGATATAGATATAGATATAGATATAGATATAGATTAGATATAGAATAGATAGATAGATAGATAGATAGAGTAGATAGATAGATAGATAGTTAGATTAGATAGATTAGATAGATAGGTAGGGTAGATTAGGTATTGATAGATAGATAGACTAGATAGATAGATAGATTGGATATATCATAGATAGATATATAGATAGATATATAGTATAGATTAATAGATATATATATATAGATAGATATGGGCTAGATATAGAAATAATATTGATATATAGATATATATTAAGATTATATAGATATATATATATAGATATAATATTATACACGTATATATATAAGATATATAGAATTATTATATTTATAGATATATAGGTATATAGAAGATATAGGATACTATAATATATAGATTATATAGACATTATGGATAGAAATAGGTGGGAGTGGAGTTGAAAACTCGATAGGCGAAACGGCGCGATTTAACAGAGAGAGAGAGAAAGGGGGAGAGAGAGGACGGCAGACAGGAGACGAGAGGAGCGAGACGGAGAGAGAGAGATGAGAGAGAGATAGAGGACAGAGAGGACAGAGACAGAGACAGAGAGACGAGAAGAGAATGAGGATGGAGAGAGGAGAGAGCAGATAGATAGGAGAGAAGATGATAGGGAGATTAGATAGATAGATATATTATACTAGTATATATTATATATGATAGCATAGATATCATAGCATAGGATATTGATATGATATAGATATGATATAGATTTAGATATATATAATGATATATAGATATATAATAGACTATATATAGACTATATATAGATATTATATTTAATAGATAGTGTTATAGATATATATATAGTATATATAATTATTATATATATAGGTATATATATTAGATATACTATATATATAGATATTATATAGATATATATATATTAGATATATAGATATATAGATATTATAGTATATAGTATATAGATATTATTAGATTATAGATATATTAGATATAGACATATATAAATATATTAGATATATATAGATATATGGATATATAGATAGATAGGGAAAGAGAGGATGAATAGAGAGATAAAGGGAGGGAAAGCGAAAACGATAGCGACACGGCGCGATTGAGAGAGAGAGAAAGGGGGGAGAGAGAGACAGAGAAAGAGAGAGAGAGACGAGAGATGAGAGAGACATGTAAGGGCGAGAGAGAGACCTGAGAGAGAGAGATAGAGGAGACACACACAGGATAGAGAGAGAGAGAGAGAGAGAGAGAGAGATAGAGCGGGATGGAGAAAGAGGGAGAAAGAAAAAGAGAGTGAAGGGGAGAGAATGAGCGAGAGAGGAAGTGGAGGAGTGAGAGATTCAGGATCACAGCTGCGTTTTGTGACGGATGTCACAAACAATACAATTCGTTATGTAGTTAATAACATACCTAGCGTAGATTTGTCGCATCCTGCGTTGGCCACCGTAACATATAATGTGCAAATGGCCGCAACACACGTTATTGCTCACGTAAACGCAAAGCATCGTTTTGTTACCATAGCCCTGCAATTTGCTCGACCAGAAGGACTAGATCTGACGCGTTAGCAAATTTCCCTCGGAAACGTGGGCCCGTTGTCAGAAACAAAATGTCGTAATAGCATTAATTATTATTGTTATTGTTATTATTAATTGTATTAACAGCATTAACTTTACGATGTTTCTGACAACGGTCCCCAGGATGTTATGTGAAGTAACGCGTATGCTCAAATATTTATGAATGCTGAAATAATATTACGATTATTAATATAAAATATGAAATTAGAATCGAATAACAACATAAAATGCCAATGTTAATAGAGTCTTAATGTTTTGCAACATTATCATCGCCACGTCTTCGGTCTGATCATCATGATACGTTCACGCATTTGCAGCCATGCACCGAGATAAAGACGACGCAAGATGTCATAGACGAGGCGTGTGAGCAGCTGAGTCTAACCTCAACCAACCTCGCACCCGAAGGAGTCTTCTTTTCCTTCGGTAATATACTGCAACGGTTTTCCATCCGTCCTTTCCTATGCGCCGTCGTTCGTAGATATTGCGTGCGAGCGAGGAAGTTTTTAATAGGTATATCAACTCGGTCAAATGTAAAGTGCAATGGAGAATTAAATTTGAAATGTGCGACGATATATTACTGTCTAATTGTAGCCGAGTATGTGGGTTACAGAAAGCTGTAGGCTCGAATGTAAAGGGAGATAATCAACACTAGCATATAACGTATAGCCGTGTAGCCGTGTAGTAGTAGTAGTAGTAGTATAGTAGTAGTAGTAGTAGTAGTAGTAGTAGTAGTAGTAGTAGTAGTAGTAGTAGTAGTAGTAGTAGTAGTAGTAGTAGTAGTGTGTGCGTGTGCGTGTGCGTGTGCGTGTCGTTGCGTGTGTGTGTTATATAAACATTCCAGCGAGCCTTATATAGGTAGTCTAGGGCAAAACAGTAAACACAGAACAATCGGCGATCGCTGCACGATGGAATATATATATATATATATACTAATTGTGCGCACTCGAACCATCGTCAATTATGTTAAAGCATGTCAGGCAGTTATATAATATAATTTTACATTTTAGCCATTATAATTTTTATTGTTATTTTTTATTACTGTTATTAACAATATATTGATTAACAAAATATTGATAATAATAATATGAATGATAATAATAATATGAATGATAATAATAATAATAATAATAATACCTCTTTCTCAAAACTAATAATAACTAGATTATATAACAAATTATTCCCTAATCATAAGATTATTCCCGATTACAACTAATTAAAATTCTTTCACGCGATGCGTTGTCGCGGCGGCTCTTTAGTGGTGTCGAAGCGGCGCATGCGTAGCATGGTCACCGAGTGAAGCTCCGCCGATCCGACGCGGAGGCTGGGGTATCTGGCAACCGGTGGGTGGATGTAAGAGCAACTGCGTGGAGCAGGGCGTCGACCTTTTAAAGTTTCGCCGCAGGTGTAATCGACCCAGGTGCGAATCTCAGGTGTACACGCGTCTCCGATCCTCTAGTGAGCACGGGGGTGTCCGTCCTTCTTTCCGTCGCAGTGACTAAGGGTCTCTAGAATGTCACGGCTTTTCGCAGCACTTTGTGGCAAACGTTATCACGTCGTGTTGATTTCTGCTGTCATATGTATTTATGATGTACCTGATAGCAGGCCACTGGTGCAATGTTAACAGGTATAAAATGAAATCGTGGAGTGGCACGCATATAATATCTAGGGTGTGCTAATGTTTGTAAAATCGAGTATACAATGAACAAGAGATCGACTTTCGCATTTCTTGTGCAACCTTCGAATCGTTCTGCATTTAATCTCGGTTCTGCATCTAATTTTATATTCGGTTGAATATTTCGTTCCAGGGTTCGTTCAGAGTGATTCAAACTAAGACGAGTATTATTATATTCTATATAGAATCAGGTCATGCTATAGACAAATAATATTTATTGCATGACAGCGCCGTGTTTGCCAATCTCCTAGCTAGACTATTTCGGTGTTATGGTCCTGCGATCGAGCGCACGGAATTTGAAATCTCTGTGTTTGTTTTCTAGGCCAACAAATTCACCAAACTGTGAAGGCGACGATAGCAGCTTTGGTACTTGTGCGTCCGTCGTGGGACGTCGTATTCCTACTGCCGAGGTACCTGTCCGCCATATAATTTTACGCTAACGTATAATCATCACCGCCATTTTGTTGCCTAATTTCGAAGTGCTCTTTCGTTAACACTACGTTTGGGCGCCTGGTGTGTGCGTCATATCGGATTTGTCAACTCGAAAAAAATGTTGAGTCGCTACATCACAAACGCTCGGTGTGGCGCAAACGCGTTCATGCGTACTCACTACCGGGTACCATTTGAGTTTATTGCTACTTACGTCGACGCATAGCTTTCATTTTTTTCCACAATTCTAGGAACGCTAGCGAACTATAGCGTTCGCAAGGCAGCGGTTACACGCAGTTGTCCTTATCACTCGCATATAATATTATATCCCCTCCATGTCTGAGGTGTCAGCCGATAACTGCGGTGTTCTGCTGCTATGCATATCCGGTCTGCGTCCCATATAGCAGGTCCGCTGGTCCGGGCGGATGCGACCTAGTGGCTGGCTGCACTAATGGTCACTCTACAAGTTGTACTTAACACCATAACGCCTGACTGGCATCTCACTTTACGCTACGATGCGTTGGACCTGATTGCATCTATATATCCGCAGACGAGGTTTCGCGTGCGCGCAGACATTGTGCAGACAAAGAACTCGGCGAAAGACTTATTTTTCGCACGCGATTTTATATAATTTTCATGTAGTTACTTTGCCATAAAATAAGTAGATTTCATCGGTGCGGAACTGCCGCAATGCGTATTCAGCGACGAGGTTTATAAAATCAGCGACAGAAAATTTTAGTTTTTATATTACTCTCGGTGGTAAGGACATCGCAAAACCTTGTCGCAGGTAAAACTACCAGCATAGATATCGTAAGAAATCTGTGTACGCGGCTTGTACTTCATGAGCTATCTCTCGTGGAACGAACTGCGCCTACGATCGGCACACTACCTCTAAAAATAAATTGCAGTCACACAACTAAAGTTTAAATTAAGTTGAACATTAAAGTTTCGCGCCTGCGCATATTTTGCCGCCATGGATCGCATCATCCGTCTGCTCTGCTACGTCACGTGTTTGATAACCTTCGTCGGCAAGATCGCGTGCGTCGGCCCGCCGTCGCGATTGGCGTCGGCGACGCTGCGAGCTGTCGGCGCGAACATCAGCGACGACGTACTGCGAGATATCGACCTGAACGTCACCGTCGTCTATCCGGCGGTTGCCGTCAACCTGACCGTGGACGACGCGGCGGAGTTGGCGACGGAAGAACCTACGGTGGAGGTGGCCGTCTTCTATGATGCTGCGCTGAAGAGGAAGCTGGTGGAGGAGAGAGGACTGTCGGAGGCAGAGCTGTATGACTACATACTCACGCTGATGCACGCCGTAAGATATACGTATTGTCGCGAACATACATGTGCGCGCGCATGCACACACGTGCGCCTATGCACGCACACACACACGCGCACGACACGCACGCACCACACGAACACGCACACGCACACGCCACACACACACGAACACGCACACGCACACGCACACGCACACGCACACGCACCGCACACGCACAACGCACACGCACGCACGCGATGCACCACGCGCTGCGCGGCACACACACACACACACACACACACACACACACACACATACACATAATATATATATATATATATATATATATATATATATATATATATCAGTTTAAGATATAGATATATAGTATATAATATATAGTATAATACATTATATGTAGTATATAATATATAAGCCTAGGTATGTTCGTGGTACTAAACAACATTGTGTGCGTGTAGTGGAACTTCTTCACTGAGTTTCTTAATTCTAACAGGTGAATTGCGCCCATATATACGTTTGTTTTTTAAGTGTCTTTGTCGTATGGTATATCTGTTTCCTGTCGTAAACTCTGACATGACCGTTGCAGGCTCACTTTGCGTTTCAACAAGAAGCACTATCTCCCCATAACATGAGAATCCGCACCGTATACGTCGCAGCGCTTCCACAAGAAGTATTGGTATGTGACACATTAACCATTTTATCATATATATATATATATATATATATATATATATATATATATATATCCTACATCTTCTGTAATTTTTTTGATATATATTTATATATTGATTATATATATAAAATAATACAGAAAACGTCGAAATATGGCGTCATATATATATTCCATAGCAAGCTTTCGAGACCGTGTCTCTTCCTGCAGGGAATGATAAAATGCCTGTTGCCCTGGCGTTGCTTCTTTCACGCACACACACACACACACACACACACACACACACACACACACACACACACACACACACACACACACACACACACACACACACACACACACACACACCACACCACACACACACACACACACACACACACACTATATATATATATATATAATATATGTATATATATATATAAATTACTCTGACCTTTGCCGGACATTCGCGGTTGCTGTCGGATTTTATTAATGAAAAGCCGTAGCTTCCAGGGAAGGGAAAAACGGATGCTTCTGGAAATCTAGGTTTTTGGCCTCGTGTAGACGCATATAACCGGGATTTTGTCTCATCTAGACGCATAACCGGGTTATTCTGTCTCGTGTAGACGCATAATCCGGGTTATTATGCCTCGTGTATACGCATAACCCGGGTTGTTAAGCCTCGTGTAATGCATACTCCAGATATTGTCAAATCTAGACGCATAATCCGGTTATTCTGTCTCGTGTAGACGCATAACCCGGGTTATTCTGTCTCGTGTAGACGCATAACCCGGGTTATTCTGTCTCGTGTAGACGCATAATCCGGGTTATTCTGTCTCGTGTAGACGCATAACCCGGTTATTCTGTCTCGTGTAGACGCATAGTCCGGTTATTCTGTTCTCGTGTAGACGCATAACCCGGGTTATTCTGTCTCGTGTAGACGCATAACCCGAGCTTTTGTCTCGTGTAGACGCATAATCCGGGTTATTATGCCTCGTTTAAACGTTTGGTCTACTTTTCCCCCTTTCAAGTAGGTCGTAGGTGGGCAATACATGACGCAACGCTGCTGCTGCTAGTTCTGATAACGGAAAACGATGACATTTTTAATTTGCGTGTGTGTTATTCAGGACTCGCAGGTGAAGGAAGTGAGCGCGAGTATTTATCTGGCCGAATTCCGTAAGATACAGGATCAATACAAGACAGACCAGCAAGGGAACCAGCTACCCCACTGGGATTACGCCATACTTCTAACTGGGTGATAACTCTTTTCAACATTTATAACCACATTTAATAGTTAATGTGTGCTTAACTCCACTTAGTAGTCACTTTACTAAAATGATTTATGTAAAGCTAATAAAATAATCAATAAATAATATTAATTTAGTAAAGGCTAATTTTCAGGATCTGCGTAATAACTATATATAGGCCTAGTACATAACCGATATGAAGTACAGGCGGGAATTGCTTAGCACATGTTGACGTCGTATGGGTATAAAAGATGATCATGGTGATACCGCTTCCCAAACCTCGTGTCATTTCCTAATACGATACACCATGCTACATTTAGAAATATGTAATTCATCAAGCGAATATAGGCCTTTTCACCATAATCCAGGGTACAGCCAATTGCCTTCTTAACGCGCAATGTTAATATATGACTTTGCTGATCAGGCGTTCTCTATTGCATTAGCTTTATATTAATAATAGCTACTAAGCTATATAATGCCCGCTAAAACTACATCATGTTAAATTTTTGGCCTGTGTCATATTGATTGGAGTGCGCGTTTGCCTTCTTAGACATCTTCTGTTGTCTATTATGTTGCCATCTAGACATCTTGTGAATTCGTCTTATCCATTTGTCCCCTGCTTGTTGTTACAGCATTGATTTATGGTTAGTGATCGGAAACAAGACGAGTTACGAAGTGCAAGGTTAGCATATTTTCCTATTCGGTCGTCACTTATATCAAGATGCTTTCTTGATAATAATTTCTGTGCGTATATAAGGGTACATTACAGCTAGTGTCAAGAAAACGTCATAATTCATTTGTTATACAGATGCACTTTTAATGCTGTGCAAATTACTACACTTTTTTTTAAATAATCTCTTACTCTTTCTTTTTTGTTAAATATTGTTGGTTTTCTTTTTTTATGAAATTTCTGAACCACATTTAAATTGAAATTAGCAGTATAATTAAGCCAGTTTGTATCTTTTTATAGGATTAACCACCATTGGGAATATGTGCCATAGCAGGCTGTCAACTGCTATCGTTGAAGGTCGGGATTTACGATCAGCGTTGAACGTGGCTCATGAAATAGGCCACAGGTACATACATCATGACGAATTAAAAAATATATATATATAGTCTGTCTCTCTGTCTGCCTGGCTGCCTTTGCGTTCGCGTTTTGCTTAATGCTGCTTTTGCTTCTATGTATGTTGCCATGTGCAAAGTTAGAAATCGAGATGGAAAAAAACTCGTATTTCTACATACCACTTAGTCATAACTTACTACTTCGCGTAGCGTTTGCCTGTTATGCATTATATATATTATATATATATATATATATATATATATATCGTTCGTTTCTCCCTCTCTCTCTCTCTCTCTCTCTCCTCTCTCTCTCTCTCTCTCCTCTCTCTCGCTTCTCTCTTCGCTCGCTCTCTCCTCTCTCTCTCTCTCTCTCTCTCTCTCTCTCGTACTTATTATATATATATATATTATATGTTTTGAGAAGTAATTATTGATAGTTCCTTCACAATTGGTTACAATAGATAAGTATATGTAACTAGTTACTCTATAAATTTTTGAACGTGTTTATTTCTTTTTGAATCAATCACCCTTTATTGGCATCTTTTCAGTCTTGGCATGTTCCACGATGGAACTGGGAGAAACACCTGCAACAGGTTTTTATACATAATGTCACAATTCAGCGGATTCGGCAAAACAACATGGTCACCTTGTAGCATCAAGGTCATGGCGAATAAATTGGGGGTGAGTTATGCGCGCACGCGTAATAAATGTAATTTATCATCTTTGCAGGTGCGGTTTGTTCAGTATAAACATACTATTTTATAGTCAAAACAACTATATAAGTGGTACCGCAATTATCTCATATGTATTATTATAAACTAGTTATCCAGATCATTACATGTTCCTGTCATAATCTAAGGCTTCGTCGAGTAGGATTTTTCGATTTGTGGCTGTGTATATGTGAGCACGGGATTTCGCTTGATCACACCCTCGTATAATACACTGAATATAGAACATGAGCGTTTTCATTTATTCAGGACGTATTCGTGTTTAAACGAGAGAGCGTGGAACACAGTTCTGACGAATAGGTTTGGTAATCAGAGGTTGCCAGGACAGGTATTTGACGCTGACCAGCAATGCGCTATTGCCATGGGGAACGGCTATCGAAGATCTCACGGCGGCGATCTCAGCGGTCTCGTTCTCGTGTACGTAATAGATTAGGTGGAATGGCATGGATGCGAATGGCATGGTGATGGCATGATGGATGGTATGATGGCATGGTATGGATGGACATGAGGGATGGATGATGATGGTATGGATGCGATGGATGTATGGATTGGATGGATGGTATGCGATGGATCAAATGGATGGTAGATGGCGATGATGGATGGATGTGATGGATGATGGATGGATGAGGATGGTATGGTATGATGGATGGATGAATTGAACTCGGTATGGCATGTATGCATGGATGGATGGATTGGATGGATGGATGATGGATGGAGGGACATGGATAGATGGATGGATGGTATGGATGGGATGATGGAGATGATGAATGGATGGATGGATGGGTTGGCATGGATGGAATGGAAGGGTGATAAATGGATGATGGAGAATGATGGGGTATGGATGGATGATATGGATGAATGGATGAATGGTATGAATGGTTCATGAATGCGATGAATGGCCATGAATAGATAAAAGGTCATGAATGGTGATGGGTATGGATGGATGGATGGATGGATGGATGGATGGAGAGTGAATGGATGGACGGACGGACGGACGACGGACGACGGCGGAACGGCAGGGACGCGAACGACGAAAGAATGAACGATGGAATGACAAACGACACGATCGACACACGAACGACACGCAACGAACGAAGAACGAACGAACGAACGAACGAACGAACGGACGACACGAACGAACAACGAACGACACGAGACGAACGAACGAACGACGATGAACGAAATGAACGAGATGAATGAATGAATAATATAAGTAAATAGATTGAAGGATATAATTTCAACTATAACTCATTTGTTCTGTTAATATTACATTATAAACTATGGCTATCATAAAACGGCAGTTTTATATCGCTGCATTACAGTAGTTTTCGTTGAAGGAGGTTTGCTTTGTAATTTTGTGACACTATAACTACAGGGCATGTGCTACCAACTCGGCTGCGTGAATGATGAGGGCAAAATGGAAGAAAATCCAGCACTGGAGGGTACCTACTGCGGTGAAGCAAAGGTAATTTGTTTATTATTATTATTATTTATTATTGTTGTTATAAAGGTTTATATATATATTAAATATATATGTGTGTGTGGTTGTGCTGTGTGTTGCTGTAGTTGTGTGTGTGTGTGTCCAACTGTGATTGTGTGTGTGTTGTGTGTGTGGGTGTGTATGTGTGGTGTATGTGTGTGTGTGTGTTGTGTGTGTGTTGTGTTGCGCAGCGCCGGTGTGGGCCCAGTTGTGCGTGTGCGTGTGGCTGGTGGCGTGTGCTGTCGCGTGTGTGGTGATGCGTCGTGCGCGGTGCGTGTCGTTTGCGCGATCTGTGTGTGTTTAGATAAACATTCAGCGAGCTTATATAGGTTGTCTAGCGCAAACAGTAAACACAGACAGGGCGGCGATTCGCTGCACGATGGAATATTATATATATATATATATACTCATTATGCGCACTCGAACCATCTGTCATTATGTTTTAAGCATGTCAGGCAGTTATATAATATATTTTACATTTTAGCCATTATTATTTTTATTGTTATTTTTCATTTATGTTATTAACAATATATTGAGTTAACAAAATATTGTAATAATAACATGAATGATAATAATAATATGAATGATAATACATATAATAAATACCTCTTTCTCAAAACTATAATTAACTAGATATATATTAACAAATTTTCTCTAATATAATGATTTCCGATTACAACTAATTAAATTCTTTCACGCGATGCGTTGTCGCGGCGGCTCTTTTAGTGTGTGTCGAAGCGGCGCATGCGTATGATCGGTCACCGAGGTGAAGCTCCGCCGATCCGACGCAGGAGAGGCTGTGGGGTATCTGGCACCGTGTGGGTGGATGTAGAGCAACTGCGTGCGAGCAGCGGCGTCGACCTTTTAAGTTTCGGCCGCAGGTGTAGCGACCAGGTGCGAATCTCAGGTGTACACGACGTCTCGATCCTCGTATGTGAGCACGGGGGGTGTCGTCCTTCTTTCCGTCGCAGTGACTAAGGGTTCTCTTAGAATGTCACGCGCTTTTCGCAGCACTTGGTGGCAAACGATTATCAGTCGGTGATTGATTTCTGCTGTATATGTATTTCTGATCCTACCTAATAACAGGCCACTGGTTCAATGTATTCTTCGTCGCAAACGTTATCACATCGTGTTGGATTTCTGATGTCATAGGCTATTTAAAGCCGCACAAATGCGCATCAACGCTAATTTTCAGTACTAGACTAGCAAACTACTTCGTGTCATGCTAATCACACTACCTTATGAAATAACTCTAGTTCCTCCATTTCACAGCGGTTGTCCTTATAAAAGGTATTTGAAATACCTTCAATTTGTTCAAATTTTCGATGTTGTGACACTTTTCGCGTTGCCCTTGCAAAGCAACCGCACCAGCGGATGCTGCGGTAACAGCGGTACGGATGCTAGCAAGATTACCACTTCGAAGGCTAAATTGTGTTGGCAACAGTCGGCGCTTTGCGCCGCAATGCCAGTTTTCTCACTCTTTCTTGTGTCGGGTTTTAAGCAAAAACGCGACAGTTGAAATGGACGCAACTATAGAGTTTTTTTGTTCATACGGTAGTGTGGCATTATGCATGACACGAAGGTATTTGTAGTCTAGTACTGGAGAAATTAGCGTTTGGGATGCGCATAGTGCGGCTTTAATGAATGTACTGAATAGACAGGGCCACTTGGCTTGCAATGTATACAGGTATACAATCGAACAATCGGGGTGAGCAGCATATAATATCTAGGGTGTGGCTATTGTTGTAAATCGAGTATACAATGAACAAGAGATCGACTTTCGCATTTCTTGTGCAACCTTGAATCGTTCGGCATATAATCTCGGTTCTGCATCTAATTTTATTTCGGTTGAATATTTCGTTCCAGGGTTCGTCAGAGTGGATTCAAACTAAGGACGAGCTATTTTTATATTCTTATAGAATCATGGTCATGCTATAGACAAATAATATTGTATTGCATGACAGCGCCGGTGTTTGCAATCTCTAGCTAGACTATTGCGAGTGTAATGGTCGCCTGCGATCGAAGCGCACGGAATTTTGAACATCTCTGTGTTTGTTTTCCTGGCCACACAAAATTCACCAAGACTGTGAAGGCGTACGAAGCAGCTTTGGTACTTGTGGTCCGTCGTGGGACGTCGTAGTCCTATCTGCCGAGGTACCTGGTCCGCCAACGTATGAATTTTTACGCTAACGTATAATCATCACCGCCATTTTGTTGCCTAATGTGTTCTCTAAATACTAACTTGCACGTGAAATTATTTGTAATTTTATCGCGCTGTGAGTTTTTTGGGGGTGATTAAACACGCTGTCATAGCTTCTTCCATCACCCTCTGTGTATTTTACTGTTGGTAGGAATTGCCTTCCCACTAGAGTAGTGCATGTTCACCTTCTGAAGAGATTGAAGAGTATGTAGAGTGAAGTATTACTCACTAACCTGGGTCTGCAAGTTGAACATGTTTGAGCTGATATGCGAGACTAGATAGAGCATTATTCCCCTCGTACGCTTTTACTAATAATACCCAAGAGTATATAATATAGATCTCTATTATGTACTCTTGATAATACCTAATAACTGATCCATATCTATCAGCTGAATCACCTACTTACTGTGATTATTTTGCATGTTTGTCTTGCTATTTGTAGCGCAAATGTTGGTTGGTGTGACTGGGGTGTACTTGGTCCGGCACAGGCAATTACCATATGGGAGAAAGAATAAGAGAGCAGCGCGAGAGAGAGAGAGAGACGGGAGAGAAGACGAGGCAGAGAGAGAGACTAGAGAGACGAGAGAGAGAAGAGAGAGACATAGCAGACGAGAGGACCGAGAGAGACGAGAGAAGAGAGAGAGAGAGAGCGACTCGAAAGAGAGAGCGAGAGGGTAAGAGCGCAGAAGCAGAGAGGAGGAGAACTGAGGCGACAAACAGCAGACAGGCGGACGGCGCGGACAGACGTACGGACGGCAGGCCGGGACAGGACAGACAGCAGGACAGCAGACGACAGATAGATAGGACACGACAGACAGACAGATGTGATAGAATAGATAGATAGAAGATAGCATGAATAGATAAGATAGATATGATAACGATAGATATATAGATGATATGATAGATAGCATAGATAGATAATAGATACGATAGATTAGATAGCGATAGACAGACAGAGAGCATAGACAGACAGACGACAGACCGACAGCAGAACAGGACAGACAGAGACAGGACGACAGACAGACAGACAGACAGACAGACAGAACAGATAGATTAGAACAGACAGACAGACGGACAGAAAGAAGGACGACAATGATAGATAGATAGATAGCATAGATGATAGATAGATAGATAGATAGATAGATAGAAGATTAGATAGATAGATAGATAGATAGATAGATAGATAGATAGATGATAGATAGATAGATAGATAGATACGATAGATAGATAGATAGAATAAATGAGATAGATAGATAGATAGACAGATAGATAGATAGATAGATAGATAGATAGATAGCTAGCAATATATAGATATGATATATATGATAGACTATAGATATATAGTAGTACGATATTAGACTATATAGATAGAATATATAGATAGATAAATAGTATAGATAGATAGAGAAATAGACAGACGACAGACAGCAGTAAGACAGCAGACAGACTAGATAGAGTAGATAGATAGATAGATAGATAAATTAGAATAATACAAGTCAGATAGCAGTAGATAGAGACGATATATAGATTAGATAGATAGATAGTAGATAGTAAAGTAGTAGATAGATGAGATAGATAGATAGATAGATAGAATTAGATAGATAGTATACGGATAGATAGTAGATAGATAGATGATAGCGAGGCAATTGGCACTGGCATGGAAGATGGATGGATGGATGGGATGGATGGATGATGGTGGATGGTGGATGGATGGATGGGAATGGATGGATGGATGGATGGAGGTATGGAGGTGGATGGATGGATGATAGGATGGCATGATGGATGGATGGTATGGATGGATGATGGAGGAATGGATGGGTGATGGATGGATGGATGCGTAGGCTATGGCTATGGATGGATGGATGGATGGATGGACTGGATGGGGATGGTAGGGATGGTATGAGGACTGATGGATGGATGATGGATGATGGCATGGGATGGATAGGATTGGATGATGGATGGATGGATGGCATGGAATGGAATGGATGGGATGGATGGATGGGATGGATAGTAGATAGATAGATAGTATAGGATAGATAGATAGATAATGATAGATAGATAGATGTAGATAGATGATAGACTAGATAGAATAGATAGATAGATAGATAGATAGATAGATAGATGGATAGATGGATAGATAGTATGGGATAGATGATTGGATAGATGATGGATAGTAGTGGATAGATAGATGGATAGATAGATAGATCAGTATAGATAGATGATAGACTTAGATTAGACTGATAGAATAGATAAGGATGATAGAATAGATCGATAGCAATCCGATAGATAGATATAGATTATATAGATAGATATTATAGATAGATATAGATATTGATAGAGTATATTATTAGATAGATAGATAGCATATATAGATATATTAGAATAGATATATAGATAGATGATAGATATAAGATATATTATAATATAATATAGTAGACATTATATAGATTAGATATAGATATAATCATATATTAGATAATATAGATATATGATAGATAATCTAGATATTATATAGATATTATATAAATAATATTTAGTATATATGGATTATATGGATTAATATAGATAGATAGGAAAGAGAGGAATGATATAGCAGAGGATAAAGAGGAGTCGGGAGCGAAAACGATAGCCGACACGGCGCGATGAGACAGAGCGAAAGGCGGGGCGAGAGAGAGACAGAGGGAAAGAGAGGAAGAGACGAGAGAGAGAGAGAGGAGAGAGAGAGAGAGAGGAAGGAGAGAGAGACGAAGATGGAGAGAGAGAGAGACGACGAGAGAAGGAGAGAGAGAAGGCGGGATGGGATAAGAGGGAAAAGAAGAGGTGAAGCGGGAGAGATGAGCGACAGAGAGGAAGTGGAGGAGTGAAAGATTTCGGATCCAGCTCTGTTACCGTTTGTGACGGAAGGTCACAAAACAATACAATTCCGGTAATGTAGTTAAAAAACATTACTAGCGTAGATGTGCAGGCCTTGGGTCGCTTGGGCCACCGTAACTATAATGTGCAAATCGGCCGACAACACACGTTTATTGCTACGGTAAACGCCCAAAGATCGTTTTGTTACCATACCTGCAATTTGCTCGACAGAAGACGAGATCTGACGCGTTTAGGAAATTTCCCTCGGAAACGTGCCCGTTGTCAGAAACAAATGTTCGTAATAGGCATTATTTTTGTTATTCGTTATTATTCAATTTGTATTAACAGCTATTACTTTCGATGTTTTGACAACGCGTCCAGGATGTTATGTGAAGTAACGCGTCATGACTAAATATTTTGATGAATGCGGGAAATAATATTACGATCTATAATATAAAATATGAAATTAGCAATCTCGATAACACTAAAATGCAATGTTAATAGGCAGTCTTATGTTTTGCACTTATCATCGCCACGTCTTCGGTCTGGATCATCATGATAACGTGTCACGCATTTGGCAGCATGCACGAGATAAAGACGACGCAAGTGTCATAGACGAGCGCTGTGGAGCAGCTGGTCTACCTCAACCACTCGCACCCGAAGGGTCTTCTTCTCCTTCGTATATACTGCAACGCGTTTTTCGGGCATCCTCCTTTCCTATGCGCGTCGTTCGTAGATATTGCCTGCGAGCGGGAAGTTTTTAAATTAGGTATATCAATCGTCAAATGTAAAAGTGCAATGTGGAATTAAATATTTGGAATGTTGTGCGACGACTATTTAATGTTAATTGTAGCCGGTATGGTGGGTTACGAGAATAAGCTGTTGGCTCGAATGTAAAGGGCGGATAATCAACACTAGCATTTAACGTTTATAGCCGGGTAGCGCTGTAGTGTGTAGTAGTAGTGAGTAGTAGTTAGTTATGTGTAGTAGTAGTAGTAGTAGTAGCTAGTAGTAGTAGTAGTAGTCAGTGTAGTAGTAGTAGTAGTAGCCGTGTAGGCGCGCACGTGTAAAATGCTGACAATGCAACTTCATTGCCCCGCGAAGACATTTCCGTTCGTCACCTCACACCAAATTTACAGCGTTTTAACTATCGCGTGCAATAAATAAATAAATAAATAAATAAATAAATAAACTAAGTAAGTAATGTTATTCAATAATAATATTAAAAAAAGAAAATGCACACGTACAGAATACTATATCATATATACTATCTATTAATTATATTAGATATATATATAATATATCAGGAGATCAAGAGTAGGTTATGACGTTATCGATGATGATGTTTGCAGACGTTCGCCGAATCTGCACGCTGTACTGCCATCGATGCGCGAACATCAGTGCATTACGGTTCACGGCCACGTCGGCTGCTGATTGCCCGAACGGACATACTCAATGCCAGGACGCGCTAATCCAACGACAGGATGTTACTGCATCAACAAGAAATGTTCAAAACTCGTGAGTGCAGAACCTCGTATCATCGTCTCCAGGGCCGTAGCCTGAGGGGGCAAGGGGGCAGCCTGCCCCCTAGACTTTAAGAGACAAAATTAAAAATAATGGTTAGCTTAATATCGTATTAACCATGCATAAACGTGATTTTTTCGATTCACTCTATCGTGAAAAGCCGCTTGTCTCAGGGTACTCACCCCAACCAATTTATGACGTAGATCAAGAGGCTGCGCTCGTCGCTCATCATTTACACTCAGTTTGAGTTCAGGAATTGCCTCCCCCTTTTTCTAGAATTTGATCAGCCTTGGCCCAAAACGGATATTTGTTGACAACCGATATAAGTAGTACGACAGATATAGAAATTCTCGTTAACTCGAATCAATTGCTTGCTGCCGCCGTTATATGTTACGTAGCCATGAGACATTTATGGCTTATGCAGTGTTTCTTCATGGTACATCTAGGGCGGCCCCGTCTGTGCCGCGGATTGTCGGCCCGGTTATTCCAGGAATTTCATCACTTACAATACAAGGCACTTGGAACGTTTCAATAGCTAAATTATGGTAACAAACACGAAATGATTTACTACCATAAGTTTTAATGTTTCTTTGCCTCCTTCTCGCTTTATTGCGTATACTTCCTGTAAATGCCGTTATATGCTTTCTGCAACAGCCGGAGACACTCCTCACGCCGCTGATGCACAAACAACAAGTATATATTTATAATTATAAGATGTTAACTTTACCACTATTTACGTATTTTGAAACGTTCAAGTGCCGGTGCAGTACCGTTCACATAGATATCAATCGGGGGCATAAGCATACTGCTTGCAATGTCCCTGATAATTAAGCGTGAACTGCGCACTTTCACACGAACGTGTCATAATATAGATGATTATATTATCATTATATATTATATTCGTTATTATTATCTATATTATGAACTCCTGATATGATTACACTGCTTTTTCAGTTTTTGCAAACGGTATTAGAATATTACTACACGAAAGCGTTATTATTTCATAGATACCGCGTTATACAGCAGCCGGCAGACGCATTTGGCCGACCGTTAGATCATACCCTCGATCAACTAGAATCGATAGGATCAGGAGGACACTCTAGTATATTAACTTATAGTCATGCACTATCTTTATATATATGTTATTATATATTTATATATATATATATATATATATATATATATACACATATATATGACACTATATTATGACTCTATATTATGACACTCCTGATAAATAATGTGATGGATGTCAGTTGCTGGCTGATGCTGCTTTGGCCCAGGCTAAACAGGCATGCAATGCTGTAGCTCTAGAACCCTTATCTGCCCATAGATATAGAATACAGTCTGTATTCTATATCTATGGTTTGCCACAGACCCGTGGCAAACAAGGTTCTAGAGTTAGCAATGCTGGGGCTCGCATAGACTTATTCTAACTAGCATTGTTCTAGAAACCGATTGACGGTGGGTGGACCCCATGGATCAAAGTACGGGGGTGTCCTCGATGTCTGTGGCGGAGAGAACAGAAAAAAGATATGGAAGTGAAGCGCAGAAGTTGTAATAATCCTCCGTAAGTGGCTATGTCACCTTGGGCTGGCAGCACACTTCACCAACATTCGTTGCTCGTACAGGCAATTTTCGTGGTCGGCAATTTTTGTGGCCGGTGCCGCGTCACAGCACACGTCACCACTCAGTGGTGACGTGTGCTGTTGACGGCAATTTTTGTTCACTGCGATTCCTTGCCACAGGTAGCTTATCATGCTACTAAAATACCAGACAATTATTAATAGTAGGTAGATGAATCAATCTAGGCCTACTAACTTCTAAAACAACTTAAAATATTCAATTTTTTTATTGATAATTAAATTTATATATTAACAAAATAAATACCAGTATAAAATATTTGAAACTCAACATGATGCACATGTAACAAGTTACAGTAGAACCCCACTTAATGGACACCCTGTTTAAAGCTGGGCACCTCTCCATCATGTCTATGAATGTTTAGTCCATAATAGAGGGGTTCTACTGTATAACATTTTGAAATAATGTGACGGCAGCGCTAATTTTGATCGGTCTGCGAGTGATTTTTTTGCCGATTGCCGTGGTGGCTTGGCGCACACTTCACCACAAGTTGCCACCACGAGCAATTTTCGTGGTGAGAAATCAAACCGGTTAGATTCTCAGCAACTCGTGGTCACCACTAAATTTCCGTGGTGAGTGGTCGTTGCCGGCCCCTGCACACTTGACCATTTTTGTGGCGACCACGAAAATTGCCTGTACGAGCAACGAAAATGGTGAAGTGTGCTGCATGCTTTAGATAGTACCAGATAGTACTAATGTGTTGTATGTGTAGATATACTAGCGTGTGATTTTGATTAAAAAAACGGAGAATGCAGAATTTTAATGTGCTGCACGGTTGTGTTGCTGCCCTATACTTCCTTCTTTGCCATTTCGTTTGATGTGAAGTACAATGACATTAAATCCGCCAGCATTTTTTAATTTGTAAATAATTTCATTTTCATTGGGTAAACATTTGATAATATAATTATGTTATGCTGTTGGTACTTGTTTTAAGGCTAGCAAATACATTTTTGCGTATATACTACTCTTAACAAGGTGACATAGTCTATTTACGTCTAGATGAGACCCTGGGCTGTCCTCAACTGCATGCCGCCAAGGGAATTATTGGTTGCGCATCGCACAATCATATTATTTACGTTTCTAAACTTATTAGACGCCTTCTCGCCAATTCAGGTGATTGTAGTACTGGTTTGCTGATGCTTTCTAGCAGTTGTATTATAATGTTGTTGCTATAGGCAATATCTTCTTTCTCTTTCTTCCTTTCTTATCTTCTCTTGTGTATTTGTAAGTGTCAACATTTCTACGCACTTCACGTAAGCCGCACCACGGCACAATATTATTTACGATTTTAAACTTATTAGACGCCTTCTTACCGATTGAGGTGATTGTAGTACCAGTTTGCTGATGTTTTCACCCATTTCTATATTATATTGTTGCTATATAGGAACCAACTAACTTACTATCGTTAGCGAGTTGTTTATTACGGTTTGCAACCATGTTTTTTAGTTCACTTAATGGAGGGCAACCATGTGAAGGGCCGGAACAGATGATACAGGAATGCAACAGTACAAAGGTAGGGTTTGATTATTACTACAAATTGAGCTGACGTGCTCATTAAATATTAGCGTAGCGTCATTTCTTTACTGTTCGCATTACACATTAGCATAATTAAACTTACAGTGTGTATTTCACATCGTTTGAACGTTAGCTTTCATGAGTGAACGTCAGTGAGCAGATGGAGTTTAACACCGTTTTCACTTTCACGAATGGAAATTAACTTCGTCCTAATCCAATCAATTATACAGGTAATAAAATTGTGATTTCGACATTTTTGTTTCAACATGGTATTATTCATACCATATTAACAAAAATTGTTTTTATTCTCTTCTGGTATAATCCGTATTCAAAACGTTGTGTTACTTTAAGATATCGGATTACAGTCCATATAAGGTGTCGGTGGCGCATGCTCCCTACGTATATGTTATGTATATATATATATATATATATATATATATATATATATATATATGTATATATA